TATAGCACACTTAGAATATAAATGTTGTATATTTTGTCTAGGATATTTTCCAAAATCTTGATTTAAGGTCTCTTCATTTATTTTCAAGAGAGGCTTTATGAAGTTAGTAAAAACACTCAAAAAGCAACCACTACGTTAAGTGATACTTGGGCTTTGTGAGAAGAATTTATGAAAATACAGGTACACTGTTTATCATGAAAGGAGATACTCATTGAATCAACAACTTCTAATAACTGGAGAAAATCAGTACACAAGATTAAATTGAAGCTCCTGAAATATGTATAGCTGGGCTAGTTGTATTGATTATAATAAAACCTTTTCTCTTCTAGCCCAGAAGAGTTCTTCAGTATCAGGACAAATCTTGAAGGGTGGAGGGATAGCTGTGTGATTATATTGGCTCATCAGAGTTCTGCATTGCACACGGTGTACAGTTATTACATCACAGAGTTTTCATTTCCTTTAGTCAAACGCTAGAGGAGAAAGAGAGCAGAATCCCCTAACAGCAGCTCAGCTTGAAATACTTCTCCTGCCAGCTCATAGAAAGATTTCCAGCCAGGAACATGATCTTGCAGCTTGATTCCTTATGTGTGTCCTTCCCTTTGAGTAATCCTCAGGGGTTTGTCTCGTCTTTCCCTGTCTGTCTTTCATTACAATTTGTGGCTTAACTAATGCGTGTGCGTCAGGGAAAGGCTTTCTAGTGCATTAAGCTTGCTTCTGCGCAGTCCTTTCAGGATAGCCATGTGGTGAGATAGACAACTATACGCCGACAGTACAGGCTGTGTGACAAACAAGCTTGTTATGGGGGTGAGAACTTTTAGTTGAGAATATCCACATAGCTTAGTAGACAAGAGAGGTGAAAGGGAAATTTGAAGCAATATTTAAGGGCGGAGCGAGTGATGTTGCAAGCTTCCCGGTACAGTACATGGTCACCACCATGCCAGTGCCCATGTTGTGCCTTCGTGACCTTAAACTCTGCATGAGTGGTGGCAATGGTTGTGAGAAAGCACAACGCTTGTTCCTTGGAAACCAACAACCCCTGTGCATATGGCACAGACCTCCATGGCACAGCATAATGTGTTGACTCTTTGTGGGCCACCCTAGAAACAACTAAGCCACATCACAGTAGTCTAGAGATGATTGCAGCATTTGCCAGGAGCCGTGCTCTGTGCGTGACTCCATAACCTGTGTTTTTGCCTCCCTTCTAGCATGCAGCAGGGCAAGATGTTTTTCTTTATTGGAATAACAATGGCTGTGATCCAGGGAGGCTATGCTCGACGAATCAAGCCACAAAATGGAATCAGAGCTATAAAAAGGGTAAAAAAAATATTTTTTTTTTCTTCTTCCCACAGATCTCTTATGTTAATTTTCAATCTAAAGTGCTTTGGAGGCTTTAACTGTACTTGTCAAATCAAAAGAAATTTCTGTCTCATTAATCCAGCTAAATGACTTCTCAAGACCCTGGTTGTTGGGCACTTACCAGTCTAACTAAACTTTGGAACATTAGAACCATTTCTTACAACATCAGCTGCAGTACCATTGAAACTTTGAGTTCTTCGTATATAACTGCAGTAGGGAATGAGAACAGTGTCTGTTGGTCTGCAGCCTAGGTAAAATGCTGTGAAGATTACGCTTTGTTTCAGTGATTTCTCTTGCAGTGCAGACATTGAAACTACTAAAGCTGCTTCAGAGCTGATCTCTGACTGTCTTTCTGGCAAATTATTTTCAGGCACATCATCTGTCTGGCCATCTCCGTGCTTGACAGGCTTTCCCTGGAGTATACTTCGCTGGTGGGCAGGGGGAAATAGATTCTTCCTCCAGTCTTTGATCTGTGATCATCAGTATTACATGTAACAATAGCACGCACCTGTGTTCAGACCAAAGTTTCGCTAACAGAAGCGTGCATGTCTTTGTTTTGCTTGCCTCTTCACAGAGGCGCTGCTGCTGCTGTACTGGGATGACAGGGAACGGTTCCCTGCAGCTTACGCAGTGGTGGAACAAGTAGATAAGTTTTGTCATTTACATTTGCGTGTGGAACTAAACCAAGCAGGTTTTGGGTGTTTCTGAACTTTTGTTGGCTGCTTGGTAATAGGTATGCTTGGACTGTTAAAGCCTCCATCAATTTCTTATGCATTTATTTTGAGGCCAGTGTGATTTCAGTGGTGGTAAGGTAAAAAAAGATTACCAAACTTCACTGCATTCCAGTGAATTGACTCAGCTTTTCTCAGTTATTTCTGCTGGTGAAACCATCTGCACCCTGCTCCCTGGCAGGCAAACGTTACTGGCACGTTTGTTGTGTCACATCGGAAGCATTTCCCTGTGAAAGAAACTCACGCTGCTGTGTTAGTGCCGCTTCACCCTCTGCATCAGCATCATCCCTGTGCTCTGCCAGCCTGCTGTGTTTGCTGCCACTGCACTGCAGCTCTCGCCAACTGGGGTTTGCCCCACTTATCTTTACACTCCTCCCTCTTCCCTGCACTGAGAAGCGTAGTTACCTCGAAATGCTCGCTCAGTTGAGTTGGTCTGGGCTGACCGCTTCTCATAACCCCCCACGTGCACTACGCAGAAACCTCCTGGCCCCGGGGCACTCTTTCTGTGGATGGATGTGGCCGGAGCGGCTTTTGTGGGAGTTCCCCCTTTTGCTGAAGTTATTCTGGCAATTTGTTTGTCAATCTGGATCTCACAGCAAACGTGGCCTCTCTTAGCGCAGTGATTACAGGAGCTCATTTATAACTGAATCTTCAAAATGAGGCGTTTGGTGGGAGTGAATACCCTCTTTTGTGGAACTCCAGTACATCTTTTATCTGTCTTTTCTGCCAAAGCTTTGTGGGGGAGAGGTCACAGGGGAACTGAAGGCTCCTGGAGAAGATGAAGAATGTTGGGGGTTTTTTGGGGTTGAATTTCAAAACCGTTCCCCCCTAGATTTGTTCTTCTTGGCTTCAGAAGTACAGACTCTGAAAGTTCAAGAGGGTTTGATGTAGCCCTTAAAATCAGTCAATACTGCTGAGAACAAGCAGAGGAGCTGTAGTCCTGTTGCACACAAGCTTTTTGATCTCTTGTGCCAGCTCAGGAGATAAAGAGTTAAAGCTAGATCTCCGTCCAGTTCAACACAGAACAAGAGGAAAAAAATCACCAAAAAACCAGTAGATCCTGCGAGAGGGAGAACTGCAAAAATCAATTTTTCCTCAGCTGTGGGAAATGGGTGGTGGGATAACCACAGCCTGTGTTGCAGGGGATGCCAGCCCGCATGTGCTCTGCAATCACGTGGTAGTGAGAGAAAATAGAAAAGTAAATTGCGCTGTTGTGTGGCCATCCAGGTGAATTTGAAACATCATCTTGGGAAGAAAGGGCTTTCTGCTTCTAACTTAAATGTAGTCTCATCAGTGGAAGAGAACTGGCAGGAGACCTGGAGTGTCTTAAAGGTAACTGCGTGACTCATTCATTTTGCAGGCCATTATGTTGCTGATTCCAGCTTTCTTGTTAATTGGATGGGCTGCAAATGTGACCACGCTGAGTGTTGGACTGCTGCTGTACTCCTTCGGTGAGCTTTTCAAAATGCCCTGATTGCTAAGCACAAATAATTTTTCATCATATCTTTACTCACCCCGTTAAAAAATATGCACTCCTAATTTCAAACTGTGAGGAATAGAAAGTTGACATTTCTGTTTATGAAATATGGAAGAAACAGTGTCTGTTTTTTTCTGATGCTGTTTGTATCACAGGAAGTTGCCATGGTGATATTTGGAAGCATCCCCAGTGCTCCCGTTGTCCTGTCTCACTGTGGAGCTCTTGAGGGTGTTTGTCTCCCCTCTCATCAGACCTAGAAGCAAAATATTCACTGAATAGCTCAGGAAAAGGAGGCAGACAGCGTGGCTTTGCATTTCTGTGGTGGCTGCATTAGTTCTTAGGCAACAGGCTGAAGAGACCTGCGCGCTCGGAAGCTGAAGGCTGGAGCCAGAGCAAGGCTAAAGCAGCGCTGTCCCGAACGCTGCGGCGTGGGGCTGTGCTGGCTGGACGCCGCTCTGCTCTCCTGCACGGCAAGCTGCTAGCTCAGGGAGGGAGCAAGACTCCACCTATTGTTTCTGATAAGTGCAGATGGTTTTCAGAGATGCTTAAGTGTTTACATAAATAATATTCTGCCAATTCAAGCTCTTATTCAGGGAAACAATTATCAATGAAGTTGGATCCATCTACTGAAGTGCCTATCTGAAAAGAGATTTCAGATATTCCGAATGCTGTTAACTATCGTTAAGAAGCTTCAAACATGACAATGAGGGTGGTGAAACACTGGAACGGGTTGCCCAGAGAGGCGGTGGAGGCCCCATCCCTGGAAGCATTCAAGGCCAGGTTGGATGGGGCTCTGAGCAACCTGATCTGGTTAGGGGTGTCCCTGCTCACTGCAGGGGGGTTGGACTAGATGACCTCTAGGGGTCCCTTCCAACCCAAAACATTCTATGATTCTATGACTAATTACTGAAAGTAGACTTTTCTTTCACATGGTACAGCTTGATTTAAGAGTGAACTGTAAATCACAAAAATGGATCTATTTAAGTATCTTGCTTGTCTAGGGACAGCTGTGTGTTTGACAGGTTTCGAAAGCTACGTCTTGTCTAGAGATCAGCTTGCTTTTGAAAGCCCACTCGGTGAGGAGGGGTGAGAGGAGGTATTCATTTATTCTAGCTGTGCTTCTGAGTTAGGAGCCTCGTCTTCCTGGGCTCCACACCTCGGCAGAAGACCCCATCACTTCCCCAGTTAACCAGCTAGAAAAGCCTCTTTTTCCCTCCCTCTGCCCCAGGCGTTAGGGCACCTGCAGTTAAGGCAAGATGTCTGTCGTTCCTGCTCTCCCATTGTCCTCTCCTTCCCAGAAAAGATTCTGCTTAAAGCACTTCCCTCTTGGCAGAAAAGGCCCCTATTTCAGTAAGAGGGCAGTGATTGCTGAAGAGCTCTTGGCTTTTGTGTCCAAAAATTTTGTAACTTCTTCTTCTTGGACTTGACTCTCATTTCCCAAGGCAGAACGTAGCTGCCGCTTTCATCCGAGAGTCCGGTAAAGCCGTATGCGTGGGGACAGTGTGATTCTGTGCGCAGCCACCTCATTGTCCCTTCAATACCCGGGCCATTCCCTTTCCCTGCTCCACCTGACAAGACCACAGCGATCTGGAAAACTACCAGTTAGCTGATCTGACCTACCCGCCCCTTCCCAGGGGCTCACAGAGCAAGAGACAGTAATGTGAAACATCTGCTCCGAGCTCTCCTGGCACTGGGCTCTTCCTGCAGGTCGGCTTTCAGGGGGTATTTTCATTACTGAACTGGATTAAACCTGATGATTCATTGTACGGTGCCCCAGAGCTCAGCATATTTCTCTGCAGTAGTAACGAGGTTGGGCCACATGTTTTTCACTATTGCTTTTGTAACTGTTCTGAGCTCTCTGCTGTTCTGACTGTCTTTTGTGGATTTTTCCAGCTGCGGCCATTGTTATCCCGTGTTTGGCAGCAGTGGTGTCAGGCTATGGTGAGTGTCTTTCTTTCCTGCTTTGAGCGGCAGCCCTTGCCCACAGCATTGACCTTTGTATAGGCTTGGCTCAAATACAGAATTGACCTCAACTTTAGTGATGCATCAACAGGAACGCGCGTGGTGTAGGGCCACCTCGCATCTGAATGCTGGACCCGTAACTCTGGCTGCTGCTTGGCTTCTTTCCCCCCAAACGCGTTAGCAAGGAAAGCAGAAATGCTTGCAGCAAACTGCCGCTCCATGTTGTAGGGGTGTCACCAACCACCCCTGCAGGAGCGAGGCTGAAGCCTGGCAAAGAGCCCTTCCCAGCCACGTGCGTGCTGCCCCTTTCCGGGGTAGCCAGGGATCCCTGCCTGCAGTCACCCTCTGCTTGCACCAGGCCTCAGGGAAGGGAAGCTGAGGGCAGGGGGGGGCGGTGCTGCTGGGGAGAGGAAGACAATAGCCTGACCCTGGGAAACGCAGAAACATCTCTCAAGGCAGCGTAGGAAAACCCCAAACTGACACGTACCTGTTCCTGAAAACTGTCAGCACTCCACAATGGATGGTTTCGGAGCTAACAGGCGTCCGGCAGCACCACGCTTTCATTTTTGTACTGTGTAACACAGCTTCTCCCGATGAAGCAACCGTATTCCTGGTTACAGTTCAGAAGGTGAGGAAGACTGGGCAGAGAATTACTGCCGCGGGCACAGGCCACCAGGAGCACTGAGCAGGGACAGGCCTGGGTTCTCTGAAAGAGACACCAGCCTTTGCTGCCAGCTGTAAAATCATTTCTTCCCGATTCCATCGAAAAGCCTTTCCAAGGAACCTTCTAAAACCTTCCAGGTTCGTGGCACTGGTTGCTGCGTAACCGAGTAAAGCAGATGTAGCTGCCATGCCATCTGTGGGTGACGGAGTTCGGCCTTTAGCTTTGGCTCCGTTGGTTACTGGCACTGAGGCGGTGAGGCTCTGCTCACCGATGGCGCTTTTGCGGTGCTCTTTAGCTTGCATCCGTGCTTCTGTCTTCACTAGCCACCCGTGCCTCCGCAGCACCTCTGGTGTACAATGTGAAGGGGTGGTTTTTGTTGGGTTTGTTTTAAGGGGGTGGAAGGGCACGCCAAGTTGTCCATGGACAAGCACTCCTCTCAAGCCCTGGTGTTTTTTCAGGACATGGTTTAGTGGTGGGATGGCAGGGTGAGGTTAAAGGCTGGACTCGATGATCTCAAAGGTCTTTGCCACCCAAAGTGATTCCATGATTCTGTGATCTCGGTGGAGAGGCTCCAAGAGCCACAGCCCTGCCCTGCCCGCTGCCCCCGCCCCAAGCAAAACCTCCACGCCGAGTAACGTCTCCCCGCTTGCGCAGGCTCTGCCAGCCAGAAAGGACGCGTCATGGGGATCCTGAGGAGCCTGGGCGCCCTCGCCAGAGCCCTGGGGCCCATCCTGTCAGCTACAGGTGAGCGCGGCCTCCTGCTCCTCCCTTCCTTTGCCAGCACATGGCCTGGCCCAGGCCCCCGGGGGTCCCCAGGGGAAGGGCAGCACCTCGCGGAGCCAGGACGTTGTCTTTGCAGAGGTGGGAGCCCCTGGGCCGTCAGGGGTAGGACACAGGGCGTATGAGCCTGACGGATGAGAAAAGGTCCTACAAGCAGAGATGAACTGGAGGGCAGGTGCTGCCTGACCCAGAGCCGCCAGCAGCAGCATCCAACTAACGGAGCCCGCGGGTCGCTGTGCGGGCAGAGGAGCCCGGGGGGGCCCGGCCCCAGGGGGAGCCCCGGGCCCAGCAGGAACCCTTGCCTTCGCCGGGCTTATTTTTTAGCCATTTTTGCAAGTAATCCCGCTGGCACTGGGTGAGCAGGAGGCCACGGAATCAAGGTGATAACTGGTTCCCCCCCTCTCATAAATCCCAAGGTGCTACAAATTAAGTAGGGACAGTCCATCATGCAGTAAAGAACTCACCAGCACTAGAAGTATCTCTGACCTATAAAGGGTCTGCACTCTACTAACGCCCCGGAGGTCAGGGAGGTTCAGTGTGCAGCACCTAGTGGCCTGGCTAAGGCCACACCTAGACTGTGCCTAAGGAGCACAGGCGCCCCCACAGGGCTCCTGTTCCCCCCAGGCCATTCTAGGGCAAGGGAACCCAGCAAGTCAGAGCTTGAACCCAGACCTGATGTTAAGTTTGGGCAAAGCCAGAACCTGTTTCCTAGGTCTTGGCTTCCTGCGCACTTCACCTAAGGAGCCCGATGCCAACAGCGGGAGCCCTTCCTGAGCGACAGGGGCAGGGCCAGGGCAGCCCAGGAGGAGGCACGGGGGCAAAGATTTAAGGCTTTGCCTCATGGCCAAAGCCGAAGGCGTGAACAGGGCCTTGCTGCCCCCCCCGTACGGGCAGAACGCAAGCAGCCTGTTGAAACCAGCCCCTTTCAACACGCTGCTTCCCTGGAGGAGAACCAGCAGCCGGTGGCCGTGCCCCCACCACGTCCCCCTGTACGCCGTGTGCCAGGGAGGCCGTGCAGGCAGAGGTGAGGGGCTGCAGGTGCCCCCCGGGTGGGGGCAGCTGTCGCAAGCCGCAGCTCTGGGGCGCCGTTCACAGCCGCACACTCAGCAGCTACATCTCGCTTCCTTTGCAGTTTACTGGCTGGCAGGGGCAGAGGTTTGCTTCACCATCTGCGGCGTTTTCTTCCTCATCCCCTTCGTTCTACTTGGTTCCGTAAAACAGGAGACAAAGCAGGAGTAGGAAGTGACCCCAGACCTGTCACCGGCTTCCAGGGACCTCTCCAGGACCTGACCTCGGCACCTGACTGCTGATCAGAGATTGATTTGAGAGGTGTTTTATATTTCTAATATCGCATGTTGTTTTCTGATGCCCAAGCACTGTTCTTTCTACGTTACGAATAAACGGTTACCTTGTACACGCGTCTGCAGTCAGTCAGTTACAGGTAGGGTGTTGCACCCCTCTAACCCCAACCTCGCCAAAAGCCTGCCTGGAGGAGGCCCCGCAGCCAGCCCTGTGGGTATTTTCTGAGAACAGATTAAAGCAGTCATTAATCAGCACATTACTCATTAAAAGAAAGCAGCGTGAATTAAATTCAACAGCCTACAGCTGCAGAATAAAACTACAAGTTTTAAAGCAGAACATGAATTTTATTTTTTTTTTTAAAGAGTTTATTTGTGAGTAGAACTTAATGATACAAGAAAGAAAGAAAAATACAGGACTTTATTCTGCCCCAAAGTGTGTAACCATACCATACATGACTACATTTCATAGTGTAATACAAAGAATTAAAAGAACAAACTACAAAATTAGAAATAAAGAGTCATTGCATATGTGGTCAGGATAAATGGAGGGACTCCGTTAAAGAACTGAAACACAGAGCAATTAGTCATTTAATTACGACCCTGCAATAAAACACAAAACTTAGCAAAGTAAGTATTGTAGGCTTCCTAGTGTAGCG